GCAAACTAAGGAACAAATAAAATTATTATATGACTTTTTTTTTTTTTTTTTTTTTTTTTTTTTTTTTTTTCAATTTTTTATTTTATAAGCAAATCATTGTACTCAAATTTGATGAAATCTTGAGCAACTCCACTGCTGATATCAGTGTGGCTAAAGCAGCTCAAATAAAAATAAATAAAAAAAAATCTAAATTCTTTATTTCATACTATATTATAAATATATTACAAATAAATTATTTTCTACTGTATTCAAGAATTATAAACTACATTCATCAGCAAGGCCTCTGGTTGGAAGATTGGAAGTTTTGAGGAGTGTGGAACCACCTCTCAATTGCTATTGTTCCTAGATACACCCTAACTCAGGGTGGTAGCACTTGTTAGGATCCCAGCTATGGGTAAATAGTGAACCCTCCACTCAAACAAAAATCTAAGCACTTGGAAAGTTTAAAAATACATTTTTATAATAAAAAATACCAGCAATACATTTTTTAAAAAAATTACAAACAATACATTTTTGTAGTGAAATTACCAGCAATACAATTTTTATAAAAAAAGAAAAATTATTAGCAACAATATATTTTTATAGCAGAATGACAATCAATACAACACTAAAAAGTGGTATGAAAATACATTTTTTTAGTAAAATTAACTACGTTTTTAGAAAAAAATCACCAACAGTACTTTTTTTGTAGTGAAATTACCAGCAATACAATTCTTTTTAAAAATTTACCATCAATACATTTTATTATCTACAAGCTATATATCTAAAAAATATACATTTGCCCTGAAAGCATAAAATTACGTACAAAATATATGTAGCTAAAGCCATAAAATTGCGTACAAAATATTTAGATTTTGGTTGATATGCCGCTAAACAAAATTTACTGTTTCTACTAGTTTATTTTTTATTTTATTTTTTTAATTTATTTTTAATCAATTCACCCCAAACAAGGTGATAAAGCCACTAAGATGCAAGGGGCCATTGGGAGTAAAAGAGAATGAAAAAGACTTTAGAAGGAACTTGAAACCCAATCCTAAACATCCATTACATCTTTAAAACATTTAAGCAATTTGAGTACCAATTATTTTGTAAAAAAAATTTATCAACCTGAGTACTGAGTAAATAATTCACTTATCTTGACAGTTTCACAGATAGCTCCGTATATCCAATCTTCAGTAGATTTTGTAGTGAATTAAAGTTAATTATAATATATACAGATCATATTTTTCTTTTTTCATATAAAAATATACATTAATTTTTAAAAGTAATTCTTTAAATGATTTAAGATTAATGGGCAAAGTTTAACAAATGTACCCACAGTGTATCATACATTCTTTCGTTCATTAGAACAAAATAAATAAGGATTTGTTTTTTATACAATTGTTGTTTTCTTATCTTCAGTAATTTTTTTTTCTCTTTCATTTTTGGCTACCCAATTATTAGCCCAGTTGGATATCAAGCGAAGAGGTTTAAATAGTAACTTACGTTTGGCTAATAATAACCAAATAGGTTCATGTCTGAATGATTTGACTGTTAGTATTCTGACCGTAAGTATTGTATTCATACTATTTCCATTTGGATTATTATCTTCATCTTTGTTGTGAATATGTGGGTAGTGAAATGAATAGTGACTTGGAATAAGAAATCAGAGAGCAGAGTTCAAATTCCAGTTGAGTTCATTACATTCATTTATGCACAAATATATTAAGGAAATGTACAAAGCCATCTCTTCTCCTCCCAGCTATGGGATAAATAGTAGGACATGTGTCTGGAAAAATCATTATCTCAAAAAAAAAAAAATAGTTAGAAAAATTGTTAATGTAATATTCACTAATAATAAAAAAAAAAAAGAAAAAAAAAAGAGAATTATTTTTAGAATCCCAAATCTGTTTCAGCTCTATATAACCCACAAAAGGGTTGATAAACCATAAAAACAAATAAAATCAAATCATCTTTGTTGTTATTTTCACAATTTTTGCTCTCTACCCTTTTTTTTTTTTTAAAGGTGCTTGTCAATCTGGGTAACTTTCAGGGAATTTTAGACTAAACCCTTTATTTAATCTATGTGGTAGATTGTTCTTATTATGCTGTCCATGTTTAACAAAGATGCAGCTAATAGTTCAAATCTAAATAATGTAGATTCTTGCCAGAAATTAAGATAGAAATCAGAAGACCTATGTTCATAGCTCACCAGAGTCAATTTGTTAAAGAGGTGAAGTTCTTGATGGTATCATCCTTGGGAGATGATCTCAGCAGGTAGCAATGATGCAAAGTGTCTGTGAAATCCGTACCATGGGTTGACCTAAGTTTTGTGTGTGAAATTGTATAGACTATTTATTTTGAACCTGTTATTTACTTTGGGGTAGGGGTAAGCTGTTGGTTTATTCTTTATAATCTCAATGTCCAGCTTATTTCAGTTTCAAATTCTTGCCTGACAAGTATTGGATAGATAAAACATTTATTTTTAATTTAAAATAAAAATATTATTAATGATCCTGATAAGTAAACCAAATAAAACACAAATAGAGTACAAAACTGAACACACTTCGACACCTACATCAAGCGTATTGGCTATGAGTCATTGAAGCTACTTCACTCTCAGTATGCATGCATGATGACGCATACAAAACATTTAGTAAGGCCACTTGTTGTACTCCTGTAGAACCAGTTTTTCCAAGTTGATTTCTCCTCTTCTTTCATTCATAAAAATGGTCCTAACCATTTCCGTCTGCTCTTCACAACTCCTGGGCATAACTTGTGCTACTGTAGATTTCTTGGCAGACAATTACATGCATGTAAGATGAAGAAGCCTTCTGTTTGTGTTAATTTCCCTGTTAATTAAACATTCATTATCGGCTCCTTCCTCTTCTTTTTCGTCGTCGGCTCCTTCCTCTTCTTTTTCGTCGTCGGCTCCTTCCTCTTCTTTTTCGTCGTCGGCTCCTTCCTCTTCTTTTTCGTCGTCGGCTCCTTCCTCTTCTTTTTCGTCATCAACTCCTTACTCTTCTTTTTCGTCGTCAACTCCTTACTCTTCTTTTTCGTCGTCAACTCCTTACTCTTCTTTTTCGTCGTCAACTCCTTACTCTTCTTTTTCGTCGTCAACTCCTTACTCTTCTTTTTCGTCATCAACTCCTTTCTTCATCCTTTTTGTCTCTTCTTTTTTTGTCTTTTTCTCTTTATTTTTTTTTTTTACTTTATCATTGTTTTTCTCTTTTCTGATCTTTTTATACTCTTCCATTCTATCTTTCCCTCTGCTTTCTTTTCTTTCTTTTTTTCTCTTCTTATTTCTCTCCTTTTTGTTTTCCTCTCTTTTCTCTTCCTCTCCTTTCTTCATTCTGTCTTTTTCTCTTATTTCTTTCTCAATTTTTCATTTATTCCTTCTCCACCATTAGCCTCTCCTTGAGTAGACCTAATTGCAACCTCCTCTTGAGACTCTTAACAATAGTTGTCACCATCCTTAACTTTTCTCCTCACTTAACTTTTCTTAGCACTGTTAGTATTTCCATAGTTTTTATTTATGTTCCATTAAACTTTCTAACTGGACATCTAATAATTACATGAATTCTTTCTGGCTTCATTAAAAGGCAACATGGCTTGGCTATTATAGATGGAAATTGTTTTGTTACTTATTTGGCCATTTCCAAAAAAATTCTGCTCATTGCAAAACACAGTGTTATCGCTATTTAGATTGTTCAGATTATTGTCCTCATCTTTGTCACCATATTTATTACATTTCGGCTGTTGTACGCTCCAGCCTTCTTCGGGTGGTTGGAATGTTGAACTGAACCCTTTATTTTGCTCACTGTGGTAGACTGTTCTAGTTCCACGTGCCAAGTTTAATGGATGTCAGTTATCAGTTATCTCCTGTTAATTCCCATCTCCAAGGTCTCCACTGCCTTAACCAGGTATTGAACTCACACTCTTTGAGTACTGCCACTGGATCTAACTAATGCCTTTATCCACTGTGACATGTCTCCTAGAGGAAATATAGATAGATACAGTATTTTCTGAGTTTATCTAAAACTGCAAAGACTCTTGCAGTGACCCAATGTAAAATAGAGCAAAACATGCTCGGCATCACCTTAAGTGACAGAAAAAGCAACACCTGCATTCGACAGTAGATTGGAGTGACAGACATAATTGAGACCATCAAGAAAGGTAAACATAGATGGGCTAGCCATGTCTCTCATCAAAGGGACAACAGGTAGACCGTTAGTGACAGAGTGGATACAAAGGCAATGGGATTTGGATTTGGAGATGTGGGTTGTTTATATTTGAGTCTACAGGTAGATATTAGTTGTTTATATTTGAGTCTACAGGTAGATATTAGTTGTTTATATTTGAGTTTATAAGTATCAGGTATGTATGTATATTGTTTATGTATGTGTTTTCTGAGTATATCTAAAACTGCAGAGACTCTTGCAGTGGCCAACCTTAAAATGGAATAAATCATGCTCGGCATCACCTTTAGGGACAGGTGGAACAAACCTGGATTTGATAACAGACTGGAGTGATGGACGTAATTGAGATCATCAAGAAGGGCAAACATAGATGAGCCAATCTCTCATCTCAGAAACAACAGGTGGACTATTAGAGCAACAGAATGGGCACCAAGGCAATGGAAAAGATTACTAAAGAGTGGCTAAACGCAAGATCAGACCCGATACTTCAGTACAACATGGACCAGTATGACTAGATATAGGAAGTGGTAGTGATCAATCAGGGAGTGGGGTCCCTCCAGTAGGAGTTAAAAGGCCCTGGATTTGAATCGAAAACTTGTGCATGCTTCCCTTATCTTCTTGCAATGATTACTATGTTTTTTTTATTGCAATTTCATCCATTTTATAGTTGTGCTGCATTTGATTTCTGCAATACTGCACATTAGAAATCTCCTCTTTTGACTGTAAACATGAGATATGTGAACTCTTATACAAAAATAATTGAATAATATTCATTTTATGGAAATCTCTAGGCATTAATCATTCCTTTTGTGTATCTGTAAGATGCATCACACATCAGCAAGAAATATCTATTTGAGGCAATGTAAGCATTATTAAAATTTTATATATTAAACATTTTTTTATATTTTTGTGGGCTTTATTTTCAATCTCAACTACACAGGATCTTTTTTATGCCATCTCTCTTCAGTATGAAGGCAATGATAACTCTCTGCAGATTCCTTTTCTTTATTATCTGTGATTTGCCATGCATTCTTGGGAAAGATAGTGGAGTGGTTTTCCTTTTGCCTTCTCCATCGATTGGAATTCAGTTTTCCTTCTCTCTTCAGGATATACATGATCATTGCAGATTCCTTTTCTTTATTCTCTGTAAATTATCATGATATTTTGGAAAAGATAGTAGAATGATTTTTCCATTTTGAATTCAGAGTAAAGGCCTCTTCTTTACTTATGTAAAGCATCTCTTTTTTTTTTTTTTTTTTTTACAGAAAATAGCATAAATATAATGTAACAGTATATTTGGTATCATTTCTTTGTGTTTGCCAGCTTATTACCATATCGTGTTGAAACACCGTACGATCACTGAAGTTAAGCAACATCGAGCCTGGTCAGTACCTAGATGAATGGCTGCTTGGGATGTGCTAATAGATAATGGCTCGGAATTGGAAATCAAAGAGAATTCCATTCAGGCTCATTATATTTACTTATGTGCAAATATCCTTGGGAAAGGTATGAATCCACTTCTCCTCCTCCCAGCAATGGGTTACCATAAATTTTGATGTACAAGCCGACCTTAAGACTTTTAGCTCAAAATTCTGAGTTAGGCTTAATGTATAGTTTGACCACCAAACGTACAGTAGGCTACCAGTGACCCAAAACTTAATCTTACTGGTAAATGAAGTTAGGTTACAGTATATGATAACCTGTGCCCAGACTATATAAGGTCACACCACTTACCAGTATATTGAACCACTAACGATAATATCTTTCTGTATGTATTGTATAGCAAGCAACCTATACTGGTAGGTACCATATATTGTATCAGTATAACTCAGCAAACATTTAAAATTCATCAGGTCTACTGATAAACACATAAATGTCAACTGATAAACACGTTAATGTCAACATCAACTCCTATAAAATATTAATACTGTAGATTACACATTATACCAGGTAGTTTTTGATAGTACTGCTACATATTATGTTATTGTAAAATACGGTATGAATCATCTGCGATTTGTATCAGAGATGTAAACAAACAACTAGTGACACCACTGACCTCATGTGACGAAGTGCAAAACTGTGGGTCTGTTATGCTATCAACACTCAGACCCTTGTCCTTTTAATGTGTCCCTATTACAATGGACAAACCAACAAGACAGTTGCCAGTAACGACCTGATAAACTATTCGAGTCTGCATGGATGCGATGTGTGCTGTAGCCTTTATAGAATACTGAATTGAGGTATGGTAATTGGTGCACAGTAATTGTTAGGAGTGCTGTCCCACTTGTCTACAACTCTGTGGTAAAGTTTTGCATTTATATCCACCATATAAGTTGACCCCTAATTTTGGAGAGATTTTTTTAAGGCTTGAAGAAATTAGTAGGAATTGTATTTGTAAATCATTATTTTCTCCCCCAAAATTCTTCTAGTTGTAAAGTAATTTCTGTCTTTAAGTAACCTTCAAAAGGTTGATAGTCCATTAAAAAAACAAAGCAATCACTCAATGTTTGTGTTTGCCACCTGAAGAAAGTTTCTGCTCTTCACAACTTCTGGACATAACTTGTGCTACTATACTTTGCCTGGTAGACAATTATATACATGTAAGATGAAGAAGCCTTCTGTGTTATATTAATGTCCCTGATAATTAAACATTTATTGTCAGTTCCTTTCTCTTTTTTTGTCAGCAATCCTTTTTCCTCTTTTTCGTCTTAGTATCCTTTTTCGTCTTAGTTTCCATTTTCTTCTTTTTCGTCTTATTTTCCATTTTCCTCTTTTTCGTCTTAGTTTCCGTTTTCCCCTTTTTCGTCTTAGTTTCCATTTTCTTCTTTTTCGTCTTAGTTTCCGTTTTCCCCTTTTTCGTCTTAGTTTCCGTTTTCCCCTTTTTCGTCTTAGTTTCCGTTTTCCCCTTTTTCGTCTTAGTTTCCGTTTTCCCCTTTTTCGTCTTAGTTTCCGTTTTCCCCTTTTTCGTCTTAGTTTCCGTTTTCCCCTTTTTTCGTCTTAGTTTCGTTTTTCCCCTTTTTTCGTCTTAGTTTCCGTTTCCCTTTTTCGTCTTAGTTTCCGCTTTTTTTTCCTTTTTCCGTTTTTCCCTTTTTCGCCTTAGTTTCCGTTTCCCTTTTTCGTCTTAGTTTCCGTTTTCCCCTTTTTCGTCTTAGTTTCCGTTTTCCCTTTTTTCGCCTTTTCGTTTTCCGTTTTTTTTTTAGTTTCCGCTTTTTTTTTCTTAGTTTCCTTTTTTTTCTTTTTCGTCAAGGTTTCCGTTTCCTTTTTTTTCATCGTCGTTTCCTTTTCTTTTTTTTTTTTTTTTTTTTTGTTGTAATTTCCTTTTTCTTCTATTTTGTCATCATCAGCTCCTACCTCTTGTTTTTTCACCATCAGGCCCTAACTCTTGTTTCATTGTTGCTTCCTATCTATTTTATTTTGTAATCTGCTCCTTTCTCTTCTTACAAATCTTACTAATTAACCCATAACTAAGGGGGAAGAGGTGGATTCATACATTTTCTAAGGGTATTTATGCATAAGTGTATATAATGAATCCAACTTGAATTGGGACTTAGCTCTCCAATAAAGATTCCAAGCCATTATCCAGTACACCACATGCACATCCAAGCTTACAGCACCTGGTATTCCCAAGTAGTCACCCATTTAGTTACTGACCAGACTTGATGTTGCTTAACTTTGATGATCATACAGGAACCAGTGTTTCAATGTGACGTGGTCATAAGTCTGAGAGTGAATGAAAGAAACTAAGAAAAACAATATTGAGGAGAGAAGACAATAATAAAAAAAAAAAGAACAGGATGATGACTGGCATTGCATTTAAATTTTAGAAAATCGTAGGTGACAGGTAAGCAAGAAAAGCCCCTTTATTTTGTTCACCAAGGTAGATTGTTCTAGTTACACATGCCATACCTCTTCTATAGCCAGGTTTGAACTTACAACTTAAGTCACTGGATTCAACCAACGCTTTTATCCACTGGGCCATGTGTCCTTTAGGATAAAATTGTTGGTTGAATCAAGTGACTTAACCCAAAGAATTGTGAGTTCAATACCTGGCTACAGCAGAGGTGAACAAAAACTTGGAGAGTTCAATTAAAAGGTAGATAACTGATAATGAGACATCGGGAAGAGGCATGGCACATGGAACTAGAACAGTCTACCCCGGTGGACAAAATAAAGGGTTCAGTTCGAAATTCAAGTCAACTGAAGAAGGCCTGAGTGTACAACGGCTGTTTCATCATGAATATGGTGTCAACTGTCTGAACAATGTAAATGATTAAATAATAATAATTACAATACCTCATAAATAATAATAATTACAATACCTCATAAATAATAATAATTACAATACCTCATAAATAATAATAATTACAATACCTCATAAATAATAATAATTACAATACCTCATAAATAATAATAATTACAATACCTCATAAATAATAATAATTACAATACCTCATAAATAATAATAATTACAATACCTCATAAATAATAATAATTACAATACCTCATCTTGGAAATATAGATAGATAACTTATGGTTACATTGAGCAATTTCAACAGAAAAATGATGAGACTTAGCTGCCAATCAAGTACTCTGCTGATATTTATTTGTGAATTTGAGGTACGAAAGAAGAAAGCTCATCAAAACAATTACCATGAAAATATTTATAGAAAACATACGGGGAACCTATTTTATGGCGTTGGGAAAGTGACTGAAGCTGAGATGCCATAACACTGAAGATTATTGTTTTGGATTTTATCAAGAATTTCTAAATCAGAAGCATCAAAGCAGTTGTGGCAGCTATATTAAGTGCATGGGCATATGGTAGATTTCTAAAAACTATTTCCCATATGTACAATTTGTCTGTGGGTGGGTGTGGGTAGAAATAAAAATAGCACTGTATTTAAATTTGTGAAGTTGAGATACCAAAGAGGAAAGTTAATCAGAACAATTACCATGAAAATATTTATAAAAAAGGCACAGGGTAACTAGATTATGGTGTTAGGAAAATGACTAAAGCCAAGATGCCATGTCAGAACCAATAAAATTGCAGTTTTTTCTTTGTATTTTATCAAGAATCTCTAAATACATAGCAGATGCACCAGGCCAGTTGTGACAGCAATATTCAAAGCATGGATGAATGGTAGATTTATAAATATGTAAGATGAGTTACCAAAGAAAAAAGTTCATCAGAACAGTTACCAGGAAAATATTTATAGAAAAGGCTTTACTATTACAAATCCTATCTTTACCAATGATGTTAGTTTTCTTGTACTGTAACTGTGGCTGCCAGTATTAATCCTACAAATACATTATTCTAATGCTTAACTAAGTCAGTATAGTTGGCTTCTTATAACCTTTGTTTATTCTTCTGCTTATCTGTCACTCATAATATTTCTCTCTCGTCTTTTTCTCTGTACATGATTTGCTTGGAGAATGCTGGTTGGAATATATTCTCTTGATCATTGGCACAAAATAAATAAGGATTTGTTTTCTTTTCTCATCTTCAGTAATTGTTTTTTTCTCTTTTTTTTTCATTTTTGGCTACCCAATTATTTGGCTAGTTGGATATCGAGCAAAGAGTTTTAAATAGTAACTAACATTAGGCTAATAATAACCAAATAGGTTCATGTTTGAATGATTGGAATGTATGCATTCTGGCCATAAGACCTGTTTTTATACTATTTCCATTTGGACTATTGTCCTCATCTTTGTTGTGTATGTGTGGGTAGTGAAATAAATAATGCACAAATACCCGAGGGAAATGTATGAATCTACTCTTCTCCCCACAACTATGGGTTAAATAGTAGGTCTTTTGTCTGGAAAAATCATTATCGTAAAAAATAAAATTAGAAAAATTGTTAATGAAATATTCACTAATAATAAAAAAAAAAACAATTGTTCTTAGAATCCCAAATCTGTTTCAGCTCTATATAACCCACAAAAGGGTTGATAAGCCATAAAAAAACAAAATCAAATCACCTTTGTTATTTTTACAATGTTTTGCCTGTTGTGCCCTCCAGCTGTTTTTAGGTGCTTGTCGAAGTGGGTAACTTTCAGGGAAATTTTGAACTGGACCCTTTATTTACTCTATAGGGTAGATTGTTCTTATTATGCTGTCCAAGTCTAACAAAGATGCGGATAATAGTTCAAATTTAACTAATGTAGGTCCTTGCCAGAAATTCGGATAGAAATCATGATGCCTGTATTCATTGCTCACCAGGGTCAATTTGTTAAAGTGGTGAAGTTCTTGATGCCATTATCCTTGGGAGATGATGTCTGTGAAAACCATACCATGGGTTGACCCTAGTTTCACGTGGAAAATTGGGTAGATATAATTGTTCAGAAGCCATCAATGAATGTGTAAGCACAAATTCACAAGTGACTGAGTGTTTGACAGTGCACTGGCTTTATTGAACTACTGGCTGGGTTGAGAGCCTTTTAGCACCCTTTAGTTAAGTCTCCAAGTCATACTTGAGTCCAGGAGTGTCTAATTATGATTTTGTTGAGGGCATGCCTGTTACTTTCATCTTAGGAGTTGTTTTAAGGACTTATTTGAAATTTTAGACAGAAAAAAAAATTATATTCTGTCTTTTTTTTTTTTTTTCATATATGTAAAAAATGTAAATATTAATTTTAAAGCATTTGTAATTTTAAAATGAAATATCTTCATGACAGAAATTGTTTACATATTTCTCACATATTAGAAAATGTATAAACAATGGTGGATCAATCATTCTGGAGCCTGACACAGTTATTAATGGAATTTTGGTCTGAATTTTTCTCTATATAATGTTTGATCTATGTGATTAAAATTTATGATAAAGAATGAGATTATGTTAAAAAAAATCATTAGGCTGCAAACTTATTTATTTACACATGTGCTTGCATGTATATATATATATATATATATATATATACACACACACACATACACACATTTGTTAAAACAAATGAGCACAGTGAAAAAGAATCTAATATGAATTGAACATATATGAAAATTGTATTTGATTTTTGTTTATTTTTTTTATGTGTGTTTTTGTGTTTGTGTGTGTCTCCATATTGATTTGTATGTGTCTTTTTTCATGCATTTGTGTGTTGTTTTCTGTCTGTTTGGTGTGTGTCTATGTATCTATTTTGGTTTTTATGTATCTGTGTGTGTGTGTCTCTGTGTCGTTTTGTTTCTGTGTGCATCTTCATGTTGTTCTGTGTCTGTGTGCATCTTTGTGTTATTTTGTGTCTGTGTGCGTCTCTGTGTTGTTTTGTGTTGGTTTGTGTGCGTCTCTGTGTTGTTTTGTGTTGGTTTGTGTGCGTCTCTGTGTTGTTTTGTGTCGGTTTGTGTGCGTCTGTGTTGTTTTGTGTCGGTTTGTGTGCGTCTCTGTGTTGCTTTGTATCAGTTTGTGTGCGTCTCCGTGTTGTTTTGTGTCTGTGTCTCTCTCAGTTTTTGTATGTGAAAAAACATGTTAGTAATGAGATGCAAGCAGCTTAAAAAAATATTGGAATATGCAAACTAAGTTCAAATACTGTTTGAGACATGCTCTTGGGAAACGCTAGGCTCCAAGTCCCCCTCAAGCTAATAAGCAGGGCAGCTGGAGCCTTTTAGTCTTGTAAGACATTCTGTCTCAAGTGATAGGCTGTGACACCCTGGTGCCATAAAAATACACTTGCTATTGAAACTGCTACAGCATCATTTGATGTCAGCGTGAGCCTATGCTATGCAAAGTGGTCTGCAGGAATAAATAAAACCATGTTGATATAAAGATAACTCTTGAACCTTATAAAAGGAAAATCTTTTGCTTGGAAATTAGTAATGTCTGTTGTTTACTCTCATCTTAATTGATATCTGCCATTCCTGTTAGAGACTGTGTTGTTCAAAAGATAATCCCAGCTGTTTGCAATCAAGCCCAATTTTGTTTTTTTTTAAAAAAAAAAAGAAAAAATTTTTCTTTCTGGAGTCATGAAAATATTTACAAGATTTTATTGATACATATTTAGCCCTATCAACCCTAAAGCAATTTTGATTGTTAAATGCTTGCAGTCCTGACCGAATTGTTGAAAAAAACTGAATATATGATGTTAATGCAATTGATATATCAAGTTTTACATGTTCAATTTATATGAAAGTATATTGATTTTGCTTTCAAATGATACCACATTTTGCTTCATTGGTCTTACTAGTTATGAGATATGGTTTTGGAAATCTACAAGTTTATAGATCTTCTAAAAGTTGTAGATCATTAATAGCATTTTGGATTATCATCACTGCATTTTCACAAGATATTTTATTTCATAGGCATTGGAAAAGTATTGTATAGGGTATGGTGTCATTATGATTCTAAGGAGTACTTCAGTGTGGTGTAATGGCTAGCAAGCTTGTCTTGCTAGAACAATTATGAGTAGTGAGTTCAATCCTCACTTGGTGC